GGTTTGGGTGGATGAAGGTAATTTAATTTTAAGATATTAAAAAGTTTAAATTGATACCTGATTTTTGAATTTTTTTTATCAAATCTGATTTTGAAATGTGATATTGAAATATCTGGATTTGTGTAATTTCTTCAAATATATTTTTAATGGAGCCCAAACAGGGGCTATGCCATCCCACGTACACTGCCTGCTCTGTGAAGTATTTTGTACGGGCTACCATTTTTCCATATAGGGTCCAATGGGCTGGATCAGTAATAATTGGGGTCTAACCCAATGGCTATCATAAGTTCTACTGATATGAAGATTTTAATTTTAATTTTTTAATTTCACATAATAACAATAAAAATAATGAAAATCGGGAACTTGTAAAATTTATTTATTTATTTTTATTAAATTTCATGATATTATTCAAAGGTTGATTTCATATTTACAATGTTGCTACTTGCTCAATTATTCTACACTTGACAATTTAAAGTTTTCATTTTACATTGTCTTTTTGCTAATATTCAGATTCCGACTCGCAACTTAAATTTGTCGATTGTTTGAATTGCATATTATATTTCATCATACTACACATGTAGTAAGTACATCGTTTATCACCGCCTCACTAATTTTTTTTTCATTTAATTACTAATTATAATTATAATTCATATATTTATATTTAAATAAAATAATTGAATTGTCATGGTAAGCTTACTAACAGCTTGTTTGGTATAGATTTTTTTGGGGAAAAATTGATTTTGAATAGTGATATAATGGGAAATGTGTGGTTAAAAAAGAAGAAAAAATTGTTGATGTAATGGAAAATATTATTTTATTAAAGAATGTGTGGTTGAAAATGAGAATTGATTTACTGTAAAAAATGAAAATCCCAAAGCCCTTGATCTTTTGGAATCCGAGTCAACAATTATATTTAAATGAAAAAATATCCATCTCTTACACTATTGTTTGAAATTATTGCAGCTGGATTATAGTCTTGGACAAATCGTTCTTGATTCCCAAATGAACCACATAATCTACAAATATATTATACAACTATGGAGTCCAACACAAGATGTGGCCACCTCAACATCCGATCCGGCTCATCCATCAGCATATTCTATGGTATTATCGGTGGTGGCGCCGCAACGGTCACCGCACTTCTCCTATTAAAAGTCGGTGACGAACGTTACTGGATTTCATAGTCATTTTCCATAGATTAAGGCCGATACGTATTATTCTAGAGGGAAGAGAAGAGATGAATATAGAAAAGAGAGGGGAAAGTGGGAAATAAACTAGGGTTTACTTTGTTGACGTGCAAAAATTAATGTAAAAATACAGTATTTTATATTTTATAATTACTTTTCACGTGATTTTTCGTAAGTGCTTTATATTTAGAATGCATAGTCTAATTTCCTCAAATTGTAAGTGCATACTCCCCGGAACAGTTTTTAATTTTAAAGAGGAAATTCTGTGCAACTGAAATTTCGTACTTTTTTATTATTTTCACAATGTCTGAAATTCCAAGGTGAAAAGAGAGTATTATTTTCCACAAAAAGATTGACGAAGAAGTTGGCATAGAAACTAGGAAAAATTGCAGTCACGACACCAAATCTTTTACTTTTATATAGACTTGACTTAGACCTTCAAGAGCAACTCACAGCGGTACCAAAAGAATTGGTTGAAAAAGAAGAAAATATTATTAATATGATGGAAAATATTATTTTATTGAAGAATGTATGGTTGAAAATGAGAATTGATTTACTGTAGAAAATGAGAATCCCAAGGCCCTTGATCTTTTGGAATCCGAGTCAACAATTTAAATGAAAAAATATCCATCTCTTACACTATTGTTTGAAATTATTGCAGGATTATAGTCTTGGACAAATCGTTCTTGATTCCCAAATGAACCACATAATCTACAAATATATTATACAACTATGGAGTCCAACACAAGCTGTGGCCACCTCAACATCCGATCCGGCTCATCCATCAGCATATTCTATGGTATTATCGATGGTGGCGCCGCAACGGTCACCGCACTTCTCCTATTAAAAGTCGGCGACGAACGTGACTGGATTTCATAGTCATTTTCTATAGATTAAGGCCGATACGTATTATTCTAGAGGGAAGAGAAGAGATGAATATAGAAAAGAGAGGGGAAAGTGGGAAATAAACTAGGGTTTATTTTGTTGACGGGCAAAAATTAATGTAAAAATACAGTATTTTATATTTTATAATTACTTTTCACGTGATTTTTCGTAAGTGCTTTATATTTAGAATGCATAGTCTAATTTCCTCAAATTGTAAGTGCATACTCCCCGGCACAGTTTTTAATTTTAAAGAGGAAATTCTGTGCAACTGAAATTTCGTACTTTTTTATTATTTTCACAATGTCTGAAATTCCAAGGTGAAAAGAGAGGATAATTTTCCACAAAAAGATTGACGAAGAAGTTGGCATAGAAACTAGGAAAAATTGCAGTCACGACACCAAATCTTTCACTTTTATATAGACTTGACTTAGACCTTCAAGTGCAACTCACAGCGGTACCAAAAGAATTGGTTAAGGAACAAAGAAGAGTACAAGCCACGAGCCCTAGTGTCCACATCCGAAAGGTGACAATGAGTAGGGTCGGGTCGTCGGTAACCGGCATCGTGAGGTATACTTGCTCAATCAGAGAGTTTTCTTGTTTCTCCTCCTCCTCCAACGAGGCAAGCGATTTCGACTTTTGAACTGGAGTGGAAAAGATCAAGTTTCTCCATGAAGAGGAGGTGGAGGAAAAGAGGGAAGAAAAAAATTGTTGGGTGATGGGAATGAAGGTGGCGGTAGACGAGATGGCAGTAGTGGTGATGGTTTTGGGGTGGGGGAGAAGAAGTTGGTTTTTTATTTTTAATTTTAGAAATATGCTACGAGTACATGGAAATTTCACAGAATACACAAAGAAATATGAAATAGATGGACTGGATTCAAACATGGAGGATGGAAGACATAGATACACGCACATGATTTTCCAATTCAAAATTCTGTACAAAATCTGGCAACATTTCCTGTACTTAAGGAATTATTCTTAATTTTAATTATTTGATTTTAGTTATTTTATTATAAAAAAAATGTAAAATTACTATTTTAACCTTTTAAAATTAATCAAAATTATTGTTAATGTCAATTATTTGGTCAACAACGATCAAACTAATGGAAACCATCCCTTGAACTTCAGCTGCAATATTTTGAAAGATTTAATATCGTGGATGACACAAATGAAAAATTTGGACAAAATCTGCTACTATATCAAAAGTTTGATATCGCTAATGCAATCATCCTAGAACCTAAAGGAAATATCATAATCACACAGTGCTCTGCCTACACCTGACTGGCGCATGTAGTGAAATAAGGAAAAATTACGGAGAATGAAAGCAGCAGATAGAGACAGAGAGACAGAGTTGTACTGTACATGGAAATATACATAATAATAAAGAATTATAAAATAAGACGGCCAACCAAAACAACTTCGTAGCTCGGTTGGAGAGTTTTCTTCTCTCCCCAGAGAGAGACAGACACTTCGTCCCAACTCAATTCTGTAGCTTCAATTTTCAGCTTCAGGTTTATACTTTTTTTCTTTTCCAGTCTCTCTTTTTCTCAGCGTTCGTTTCAATATTTGTTCTATTTCTTATAATTTGGTTTGAAAGATTGAGAGGAAAAGGGTGAGTGCTTGACAATAAATGCGATGTAAATAAAAAAGGGACCCTTTTTTGTTATATTTAGAGTTTCTTGCATCCGCGCCGTTTGGTGATCACTTATCAGCTTTATTTTTTGTTGTTTTCGTAGATTTTTTTTGACTGTGTTCATTACAATTTTACATTTCTTTTTTTAATTTTGCTGTCGGGTTCTTCAGTATATGAGCTTTTCTTAAGGTTCTTATTGAAATTCGATTTCGATGCTTTTTTTGAGTCTATTTATGTGTAGAGATTATGATCTATGTCAAGATACTTGGACTCAAAAATGGACATCTGGGAGTTTATCGTGATGATATCTTAGAGTTAAGAGTCTTTTTCTGTTTATGTTAATTATGTAATTCAGATTAATGGTGTACTGATTAGCTAGATTTGTAGGATGCTGAATTGGTACTAATATATGACGGAAACAGATTATACGGATGGACAGAACTACGTAACTTTAATTTAAAATAGTGCCGTAAAAGAACTCGTGCAGTTGATCTCTAGTTCATTTGGCTAATTCTTAACTTCTTGTGTTGTTCAAGATATTTATTGGCAGTTGTGTGAATGTAGCTAAGGTTTATGTTTATCTATGAATTTCCATTTTGCTAAATTCTATCATTTATAAAGTATTTAGTATGCTTATGGTAAATTGAGTTTCATGATATAGTTTCTATTGGTAAATTACGGTCTGTTCAGATTATTTTGTTATAGTATTTGAGATTCATTTAGTGAATTGAGAATTTTTGAAATGCTAACCCGTAGATATTTTTCGTAGAATTTGTAATTAAGAGAGAGAATGTCTAATGGGGGAACTCAGAGTAGTTTAAGAAAAACACTTGGAGCTCTCAAGGATACGACCACTGTCAGTTTCGCTAAAATAAATAGTGACTACAAGGTATTGTTAAGTGTTGGCACTTATGAAAAATAAATTTCTGTGATCTCTGTGTATATTTTGGGGTGGTTCTTTTTGCAGGAATTGGACATTGCTGTTGTGAGAGCTACAAATCACATCGAGGGCCCAGCAAAAGAAAAACACATAAGAGGTGGGTAACTTGAAGATTATGTGTATTGTCACAAGGAGGATATGCACCAAAAGGCTGTCTTATTTTCTATAATATGATTGTAACTTGGCTTCCAAAATGGTAACCTGATGACTGTTACCAATTTTATTTTCAGCTATTTTTGCAGCTATATCTGCTACCAGGCCTCGAGCTGATGTTGCATATTGCATACATGCCCTTGCGAGACGATTGTCAAAGACTCATAATTGGGCGGTATGTGTTTGAGACGTTGATAACTATTTACTTTATAATGATTGTAAAGAGAAATTTGCATGACTGGCAGTTTAAAACTGGGTAGAGAAATAAGGTTTTTTTTTTTTTGACTTCTTGTAATAGTCTGTATTGACGTCAAAATCTGTCAATACTCATAATATAAATCTCCTGATATTACTTTGTGACTTGGACCTGGCGATATACCTATAAAACATGTCTCCTAATAAGTACACAAAATGATGTAAATAAAAGTCACTTGCCAATACTTATCCCCGTGAAGAGTTTATATACCTATAAATGGAAATAACATAAATCTGTTAGTTCCCTCAAATCTTCCTTACCTAGTCATGTCAGTTATCATGTTTCATTCCTTAATTTGGAACTTATCCTCAACAACATACTTTCCCATGTCTTTTATGCTTGGATCCAAGATATAGTGTATGCGTCGCAATGTATTAATTAGTAACAGTGTGTAATAACTGGTGGAGCAGAGGAGCTGTTGTAGTTGTATAAAGCTCTTCTTACTACTTACGGGTTTGAGCCTCACCTTCCTTTCCATGTAAGGTCCATTTAGTGTTTGTGTAAATAATGTACTTCGTCCTCTTTTCTAAGGATAGTTAAGTTGTTGTATTTGATGTTTAGATCACCAATTGTTTTGGGTAATGATGACTCCTTGAGAGTTTCAGTGTTTATCCTAACTTTCTTGTCTTTGACGATTAAATCCTTGATTTAACTGTCCAACTCCTTCAATGGGGCTTTAGCTGTTAAATGAGTCAGGTCTTAACAATGATTAATTATGAGGAAGGAGTGTTAGGCTGCAAAATTTTTTGCACATCTTTTACACACTGTTAGGATTCATGATTTTGGAAAGCAATACAAGTGAAGCGTGTAAAAAAAGGCTTAATTTAGAAGCTCATGGGTGTTTCAACATTAAAACATATGATGCCAAGTGGTGTAGACTTATTGATTATAGACTTCTGTAGATTAGTATAAAAAATCAATTCAGGACAGAGTGCCTTAACCCTCACCCTCACCCTCATGTGTAACATGGGAGAATGAGCTAATGATGAAAACAATTCTAGATTGGTGCTAGAACTGATTTCGAGAATGCTTATAAACAAAGAGGTTGATCAAGGAGAGAAACTATGAGAAAAAGTTGTGCTGTTTTTGACCAAACGTTATTTCCTTTGAAATGGTGAGGACAAATAGCATGTTCGCTCTCTGTATTATATATGTGTGTCTTGCCTGTGTTCCTGGACCAATTGAGATTTGGAGTTCCGATTTTCTTTGAATTTTTTCCCCGTTCTTGGTGTTTTCTATTTTGAGTTCCAAGATCATAATGGAACTTGCCATATGATTGTTTACTAGTTAAGGAGATATGCAATGGAGTCTCATTTGTCAATATTTAATCTAATCTGAACTTGGCCTTATTATTCGTACTGACTTTTGGCAGAAGCTACAGATGTGGTAACTTTTATGGATGTATATCTATGTGCATACGTGAAGATATTGATATGCACATGCATATATGGTCTGCAGAGAAAAGTCATACTCAGCTCCTGGATGATATTTTCATCCTTGAAACTTGACACTGCAAACACCTTAGCCTGCGTTTGGCCCCATTAAATTAAAATTCTTTTTTCTTTTTCTTCTTATCAATCATACATTCTCCAACAAAATAATATTACACGTAAACCCAAAAAAATTTCTTCTTTTTTAATCACACATTCTCCAAAAAAATTACTATTCCTCTCATTATAGAGCATGTCTGGTGAAACTTTTTCAATCAATTAAAATCATTTTTGTGGCCATTACATATCATTTCAGCAGCCTTTTTTGATTGCTTGTGAGAGAAGGGGGACCCACCAGTGGACTTTAACGGTAACATTAATACTTAAAATCTGAAAATAATCCTTACCAGACATGTTCATAATGTGAAATAATGGGAGCCAAACCGGATGTTAATATCTGTCCCAGTTTTACCCCAACTTGCTTTAGTTTTCTGATGCTTCTGGTTTATTTAAGAATTATGTGTTACTGTTCACTTGGTTGTCTAGTCATCATACATGACACTGGCTACTTTTTGTCTTCCTCGGTAATTTCCTCATGTTTTAGGTTGCCTTAAAAACTTTGATAGTAATCCATCGTGCACTGAGGGAGGTTGATCCCACATTCCAGGAAGAACTTATAAATTATGGTAGGAGCAGAAACCATGTGCTTAACTTGGGCCATTTCAAGGATGACTCAAGTCCAAATGGTATGGTTTTATTTTCTTTCACTAGCCCTGCAATTTTACAGAAGGGAAATTTCTTGGTATTGAAATGCATTTTATCTCTTGACCAGCATGGGATTATTCTGCCTGGGTGCGTTCTTATGCATTATTTTTGGAGGAGAGGCTGGAATGTTTCCGAGTGCTGAAATATGATGTGGAGACAGAGCCTCCGGTGAGAAATTTATTAATATCAACATTAGCTCTGTTTCTTAGTGCTATCCAACATTTCATTTCTATGTTTACCTGTTTAATATTTTAATTTTGTTTTTAACTTTTTTGAAAACGTTGAAGATCCTCATCAGTGTTTAGGTCAAAGTGCTAGTACAATTAGAATCTAGACTTCCAGGCATCACTTTCTAGTGACCCACAAGAAAATTCTCTATTTGATACTTACAGAAAAAATTTACTATCTGAAAATTAATATACTTGAATTATTTTCCCTCTTGATAATTCCTAAATGCAAATAATGATGCAGAGAACAAAAGATTTGGACACTCCAGAGTTGCTTGAGCAATTACTGGCTTTACAGCAACTTCTGTTTCGGGTTCTTGGCTGTCAGGTAATTTCTATCACCAATCTGAACGCCAATTCTTGATCATTCATCAATAATTCTGTCTTGGTAATGTTAAAGCTCATGTCTTAACTTATTTTCAGTACATGGAATATATTTATTTGTCACTTTCTCCCCCTAATAACTTGGGCTATAACGATTTTAAATTTGTTCAGCCGCAAGGAGCAGCAGATCATAATTTTGTTATTCAGTTGGCCCTTTCTATGGTATGCGAAGTCTTAATTTTCACATTTACCTTTACAATAAAAGCCTTTTTTCCCCAATGTCTTGCTATGTTTATCCAGTCATCTATTGTAATTTCATGTAGGTTGCCACTGAGGGCATTAAAATTTATAATGCAATAAGTGATGGTACAGTTAATTTGGTTGACAAGGTATGGTACGACATGGAATTAGTCTAAACTATCTGTTACTCAAGGAACAATGGATTTACTGTGCTTCATTCTTAACAGTTCTTTGAGATGCAACGGCATGATGCTCTCAAGGCTCTGGATATATACCAGGGAGCTGGCCAGCAGGTACACCCAGTGGACATTATTTTTAATAGTTAACTAGTTTTTGTATTTGTGGGGAGATTTTTTTTCCTCATACGAGTATCATTGTACTACTAAAATTTTTTCCAGGCTGAGAAATTGTCGGAATTTATTGAAGTGTGTAAAAATCTTGACATTGGGCGCGGAGAAAGATTTATAAAGATTGAGCAGGTTAGACTTTCTTGGTACATTTGCAGATATTCTATTTTTGTTTTAGACATTGAAAAGTTTCCCCTAACCTTGTTTTCTGATTGATGATGAAGCCCCCTGCATCATTTCTACAAGCTATGGAGGAGTATGTGAGAGAAGCACCACGTGCTTCCACTATTCGCAAGGATCTGGTATGGATCTCTCCCAAGTCATTATATAGGCAATCTCTCTCTGCGCGCACGCGCGTGTGCATGTGTGACGTGAGAGAGACAGAGACAGAAGAAATTTCCCCTTTTATATTGCTTTTAGTTTATTAGATGGATTGGAGTCCATCTGTCAAAACAGATGCTTCGAGAAAGTTGTTGGGGTGGGGGGGTGAGCAACAATACTAAAATGTGTGTGCTGGCAAATTTTAAGCCTTTGTGAATTTTTAATGACCATTACACCTGTCATCATCATAATCCTAACCACAAATCTATATTTACGGAAAAGTTTTGGTTATAAACTATATAGGACCACCCCTTTGACTACTATAACATTTGAATGCTGACGGAGACCATTCACCAATATATATATAGTCGCATATATTCGTATTGTAGAATGTGAAATTTTCTGTAGAATAGTTAGAATTGGAATCTCTATTCCAAATCATTGATATTTGTAAAAGATGATTCTTTAAGGTAGAATTCAGCAACCTAGATCAATCAGAAATCTGTTGAATTGCAGCCTTTATTCCAACTGTTTTTGCAACTGATTTTGGTTGGAATCTTGAACTATATGGAGCCTTAGTTAGTTAGGTAGTTAATAACCATTTTTGATACCTCTTTTGTGTCTATAAATACTTGCATTAGGAGTGGTAAAAGGTGCAACTCGAAAATAGAGAAAGTGAGATGAGATAAGAGTAGTAAACTGTAGAAATTCTTTCTGATGATTTCAGATTGTAAATCATGTAATGTCTTGTGGATAAATCAAGGCTGAGGAAGACATACTTCCTATTGAAAAATCTGTTCTTCATTTTCTTTCTGCTGGTATAAAAGGCTAAATCAAATTTGTAAATTGTTTGCTATCTGTACATATTTGATGCAGATTTCTCCAGCAATATATCAGTAATATTGATTTGCTTAATTCTAGTGATTGATTGCTTCATTGCCACCATCAGTGGGATCATTGTCTTCATCAGTATTGACTGCTTCATTACCAAGATTATTGTGATCATTTCCTTTGACAGAATGTAGCTCAGAAGTTCTCGAGATAGTTTTCATATTACTGAATAATTATTTTGACGACTTTCTGATATGTACTGAGTAGAACGTTGATGAAAAGTCGAAGGTGATATTATCCATTGAGTACAAAAAGAATTCAGAGGTGAAGGAAGACTGCTCGCCATCACCAACTACACCTCCACCTCCACCTCCAGCTGAACCACAACCGAAGCCAGAACCAGAACCAGTTAAAGTGGAAGCACCTGTTTCAGAACCACCTGATCTGCTGGTAATTAATTGGAATATTAACAAATTCATGATATTGAGCTTTTCTTTGTTTTGGTAGCTCTCTGCTTTGAACAATGTTATGAGCTTTTCGACTGACCACATTTATCTGTTGTAAAGGGTCTGGATGATCCTGTTCCAGCTGCCTCTGCGTTAGACGAGAAGAATGCCATGGCTTTAGCCATTGTGCCAGTTGGTAAGTATTATTTATTGAAGATTGGAACTTTATTCTTGTCTTTATTACCATTTGGGTAAAATAAGAGTTTATTACTCTGTTATTTAATTTAACATTTTATTTCATATGTAAACACAAAATCCGGATATTAATAAATTTGAGGGTGTGTTGGTTATATGATGTCATGGAAGATCACTTAGTGGGTGTTTGGTGGGGATTAAAATTAGATTTTTAGTAGATTGTGATAGAAGTTTTTGAAATGTGTGGTTGAAAAGCTATGAGACTCACAAAAGATATGGTTAATATTGATTGTTTGACTTTGACTTAGATTAAAATCTGATTTTAATCCGAAACAAACAGGTTCTTAGTCTTTTCGACGAACTGGATATTGATAGAATTCTTCTTGCCATTATAGGTGAACAACCAGCATCCGCTGGGCCAAATCTGTCAAATGGAACTGCAGGCTGGGAATTAGCTCTTGTTACAGCTCCAAGTTCCAATGGGAGTACTACTGCTGCTAGCAAGTTGGTATTGCTCTTCATCTTCCTTGGAATTTTTCAGTTGCTTCACCAATAAAATATTTATAAATATAAGAATTTTTTTAATTTTTTATGTTTTTTATTTTTAATGGATTAAACCTAAATCCTTAACTTTGATAGCAATAATAAAAAAAACATCTCACAAACACACATTTCTTGTTGTTCGCCTTCAATGTGAGTTACATGGACACTTGGCGCTTCAAATTTTTCACCATAGACTACAATTTTTTTCACACAACTGTCTTCTCTCTTCTCTACTAAAAAACAGTCCCTCTAAATTTCTTTCATATAATAGGAATATTAAGATGATATATCACGTAGACAACTCAATATGCCCATAAATAGAAATGTCACATGAGCACTGCCTCGAATCAATGAATAGGGAGGGTATATTTTATTCTTCTCTCTGAATTTATTAGTTTTATGTGCTTATCTATATTGCCTGAATGCATGTAATGTTTTATTAGCTTAGAAGGCGTTGATGCGAGTACTTTATTTTAATATTTTTACATGGACAAAGGCCGGTGGCCTCGACATGCTTACACTAGACAGCCTATATGACGATGCAATCCGAAGAACCAGCCAGAACGTTAGCTACAATCCATGGTTACAAGCTCCAACGGCCACTCCCATGATGCCACAAACTGCACATGACCCATTCTATGCCTCCAATGTAATGGCTGCACCACCTTCCGTACAGATGGCAGCTGTGGCCAATCAACGACAGGCTTTCATGTACCAGCAGCAGCAGATGATGATGATGATGGGGCCACAGCAGCCCATAAACCCTTTTGAAACCCCGTATGGAGCCAGTAGCCACCCTTACGGCTCAGGTATGCCAGTTCAAGCCTATAATCATCATCCAGGCCTTGAGTAATTCCCACGAGAACGTTATTTTGTTGGAAATGGAAATATGAGAAGGATAAATATTTTAGTACTGAATTTTACTCTGGAGCTATTCGAAGATAGATGATTTGTATCATATGATGTGTCCAAAGTGCAGGTTGGGATTAAATTAGCCGTTTCAATAATTAAGTAGAAACAATTATTTTGCTTGTTGAAAATAACTTCAGGCAGTTGGTTTCGGTGTTTGAACTTCTTTCTTTTCACTCATCTATACTCGAGCAGGGTCGAGTTCTTGTCTATTGGATTCTGTAACTCTGTTTTTCTTTCCCCTTGACGTGTGAAATTTATTATTCATCAATCTTTCATGTATTGTTGAACAAAATTTCACTAGTGATTCTTAAATGGTTTGTTAATCCTGTCTTTTTTACTTTTGTTAATTTTCTTAATTTTTCGTGGCCTTTCTTTTCCTCTGTGTGTTTGGCATTATTAACTAACTAATAGCAAATATGGCTGCTGGAAATTTACTGGGACTATATAAGATATTAAGAGAAACGAAAAAGTAATTATCAGAATAAATATTCATTCTGCTCATCACACTGTTGAATGGAATTATTTGTCCTTGGCATCAGGCAATGTTCTGTTTAAACTCCCTAACTTTTGCTCAATGTAGTTCTTTGGTGGGATATACTATTTACTGTACTAGGTGCACGTTTGGCTCAACTTTAAAAAATGTAGAGGTTACTTATAAGTAAGTCATCTATTTATGAAAATTATGTATATTTCATGCTTTTTGATGCACAATTAAAGTCGGGTTTTAAAATTTTCACTAGTAATAATGCTATTTATCTGTATTAGAGATGTTCATCTGTCTATATGACAAGTAATTTACAATTATGAACCTACTTTACGAATATCACAAATCAAATCCAATGAACTTTGAGATAGACACACAACACAATCCCATCGGTTGCAGACTTGCAGAATAAAGGAATTTATCTCAGTAAACATTAGTGTGAGGAAGATCAATTGGTGAAATCTCATTTTAGTAGCTGTATTATGGGGTAGAAATTTGGGAAATTGCAATACTGAAAACAATAATGCTGCTTGCACAGGATAAATGATAGGGGCTTTTGAGAGGGGTTTTCTGTTTTTGTTTTTTTTTTTTTGTAAACTGTCCAATGAAATAATGTCACGTGTCCCCTAATTTTTCACCCGTCATTGATCCAGTATGTGTGGCATGATTCGACTGGATAACATGAAATTGGGTATCCCTAGGGAGAAAAATAGAAGGGTGCAATGATGAATTCATATATTATAAAAAATAAAAATAAAATCGTAGGAACTTGCATTGCTGATCTTAACCCCCCACCCCCCATGAACCTCATACCCCATCCCTGACCTTAAGGCCAATTGCTATTCTCTCTGCTTTGAGTGAATTGTTGTGAACTTGGACAAAACTCGTAAGCGTACGAGATTGTTCACGAGTAAATTTAGTGAGTTAAGAGTATCATCTCTCGAGAAATAATTATAACTATAGTTTATTGTTTTGTATTTATTCTAATTAAACTATGAAAGCTTCAAATGAGTTGTTTTTATCGAAGTATGAGATGAATGTATTGGATTTCAGATTTCACCTATTGACATCTATTTCTAATTCTCAAATTTCATAGTTTAGTGTTGTTCAAATATTCATAACAATGAATAATCCTTTATTGTTTAGTATTTTTTTTTCAAGATATATTAAATTTATTCTTCGCACGATCCAAATTCGACATATTCCTAGTCCGAATTCATATGCAAAGCAAGTATTCAATCATACGATTATCACACGCGATTACATACGTCCTAAATAATATTCCTAATACCTAGTGCCCACATGTCAAATATGTAATGTTTTAATTTGTTGTGAATATCTCAATACTAGAATAAGCAACAAGTTATCAAATTGGTACTTAAGCAATTAAATAACACAATAAGCATGTATATTGATCAAGAACACTAGAATTCACTATAATACTTATCTTTAATTAGAAATATCAACTAAAAGGTTTCATCATTCATCTAATATACAAGAATCGTTTAGCCTAGTATTAATGAATATAAATTACACAAAAAAGATTGAAACAACATCACTTGAGGTAAAGAAATAGTCGTAGAGCTTAAAAATTTGATTTCTTGCGCTTCAATCTTCAATCTGACATTTGGAACTTCAAATCTTATTATGGAATCTCTTGTTCTCCTCTTGCTAGCCTCTATTCAATGGTAAAATCTAGGTTTTTTTTAAATGTTTTGGAAGGATTTTATGTTACAATGGATGCAAAAGATATCATATCCAAACTTTTGTTACTAGCTTTTTGGTCTTTCTTTATTCCTTTTAGTTCCGTTATATTCTCTTCTCATCTAATTGCTTCCTAGAACTCTTGAATCTTTGCTACGATGTCCGACCCAACTTTTAATTAGTTGCACTTTAGTCCCTAAACTTTGAATTTGATGCAATTGATCCTTTTTTATTTGTTTTCCTACAATTCCACAAAGATCATTGATAGTTACGTACGAAACATAATTTATATAGAATTAAGTCATATTTCATAAAAATCATCAACTCCAATTTAACAGTCTAAATAAGTGTGCAAAATATACTTATCAAATTCGTTTTGTTATACGTTAGTACATTTTCATTTTATAATGAGTGAGAAGATGCAATCGAATTTTTAGAATATTCATTCATGTGCATATTGGATTTTTCTTTTGGACTACTTTTCTAAAGGTTGATACATATAATTCTTTATAAATAAACGGTAATAAAATTTAAGATAGTTGTCTATCTTGGATTGAGAAATTTATTTATTTATCTTTAGTCTCCACTCTTCGCGGGCAATATGTACCTCAGCGGCATAATTCAGTATTCAATTATTATCCATTTTAGAAAGTTTCAAACTCAATCCATAAAAAAGAAAACGATTTTGAAATTTTAATTATTTATATTTTAACATAATGCTCTATAATGATTTAACAAAGGTGGTCGTATTTATCTAAAAGCAATATCAAAGGTTGTATTTAGATTCTTTAGTGTAATTTTTTGCTCTATACGTGTAACCTTTTTTTTTTTTTTTTGCACGTATAACTTAGATTGGAGACAACAATAATTTACAATTTAATTTTATAGCGTATAAAAAATCTACGATAAGATTTTTTTTTTTTCTCTTTTTTGAAATCAACATCTCTCGAAGAATATGCTTCAGACTACTTGAATCAATCTTTATTTCATGCTAGAACATGTTGCATGTGTCCTAGGCTACATGGGACTTGTACTATAGTGTTTATTGTCCCTTTCCAATGTAATCTCAATTTTGAGTCAAGCATGAAAATATTTTTTTCTCATTTAATCTTACACGATGGCATTAGTTAGTGAAATTCAATATTGAAAGGTTCAATATAATATTTATGTACGACTGGACCATACGACTACAACTTGAGTTCTATTCCCAACAAAATTTTGGATCGACTTTTAAAATTTTTTTCGCCATTTCAATTTTTCAATTCAATTCATTTTCAAATTTAACTGAAAGGATTATAAAACAATTATATTCTTAAAAATTGCAACAAGTCATGTTACCACTGGTCTATTTATCTCTTTCTTGATGATTTGATTCAATGAGGTAGAATTAGAGCGGAAAATTAATTTTGCATTCAAGTTCATTGTCAATATTTATTGAAAATTTGAGACTGTTCATGAGAAAATGAATCCAATCTTTATGTTAAAGAGTTAGATGTTGGGAAATATGTAGGAAATCTGAAACAATTAATAACTCCAAGGCACGAAAATCGTTATCTTTTAAGAGATGTTTCTCCCCTTTCCAAAAAAGTCACGACCGGGGTATGATAGAAAATCTCTCTCAGGATACAATGGAGGCGTTTGATTCAAATTGTGACTATTTGATCAAACCAAGAAACATAAAAGATAAAGCGGTTAACTCTTTAAACACATTTTCATCGAAAGTGTTAAGGGATATAATCCCACATCGAATAAAGATGTTGACACAGACCAATTAATAAAGATCTTGGGCTACTCCTCTTAATTAAGGCTGACCTTTTAAGATGGACCCCCAAATCTTAACAGACCATACGACTACAACTTGAGTTCTATTCCCAACAAAATTTTGGATCGACTTTTAAATTTTTTTTCGGCATTTCAATTTTTCAATTCAATTCATTTTCAAATTTAACTGAAAGGATTATAAAACAATTATATTCTTAAAAATTGCAACAAGTCATGTTACCACTGGTCTATTTATCTCTTTCTTGATGATTTGATTTAATGAGGTAGAATTAGAGCGGAAAATTAATTTTGTATTCAAGTTCATTGTCAATATTTATTGAAAATTTGAGACTGTTCATGAGAAAATGAATCCAATCTTTATGTTAAAGAGTTAGAGCCCTCGAAAGTATAGACGAAGCCACGGAAAGAGAATGTGGTGCGACTCAAAATTGGCCATTGAAATGTCAAATTCAAGGAATAATGGCCCCAAAATGTACATGCATAAATAGATAAAATCCAAGTAAAAAGTTGTGAAATCAGAAAACTGAAAGCAAGATATATGTAAGTCTTCAAATGGTAATTGAAAAGGACTAATGAATTTTTTTAACATTTTCTAACAATCATACTTGAATAATTTTTGGACAACCCCACCCCACCCCACCCCGACCCCCACACTCTCCCCATCTCCCTCCAGCCTAGAATAGCTGACCATGCGAATATGTCCTAGTAAAAGTTGTCTCGAAAGATTCAAAGATGGTCGTGATCGATGGGATAGGATAATGTTTTTCCTATGGCTTTTTTCTGTCTTTTTCCTCAAGGTGGATTAGATTGGAGGCTTTTAGCCCATATTTGTTTACCAGTATTCCAAAAAATTGTTTGCTACAGTGAGATTCTCCACCACACATTCACCCAATAAAATATTCTACACATAAATTAATAAAATTACTTTAATTTTCAACCACACATTCTCCCAAAAATACTATTCATTATTCTATTTTTCTCCCAATAATGGAAGACAAACACTTAAATGTTGTGAGAAAATTTCAGTAAGAAATGGAGATAAAGATATAGTTGGCATAATTAAGAATAATGATAGCAACAATGTAGAAAAATTAAATATAGAAAGTTTTAAAATCATTCTTGAAATGTCAAGGAAGAAATCATAACATTTTATGGATATTGTTGTCGGAGTAATGGTTGGAAAATATTTTGTCACTCTCTCTTCTTCTTTTTTTATTTTTTTTTCCTGGAAAAAAAAGGAAGAAAGTAAAAGGGAAAATGTTAGCAAAATCCCCGTGCATTTCCCATATTGGATTGTCGTCCCAAAGGTTGTTTCTTTTTCTTTCTTTTAATTTCTTTCATCCTTTTTCCCCTTTTACTTATATTTTTATAGTGAATCTAAAAATAAGACGCGCACTCACATACTATTTTAATGCACAAATTATCCTTTGAGAAAAAGGTACATTAATAAAAATGAAATATTGAAAATTATGATATTCCATTTATGCAATTTTATGAAAAAAAATGCTACATAAATAGCACAACAGAGACCATCGCCGCTATTTTCCCATTTAAAATGCATACTATCATGACTAGACTCTAAGCCTATAATTTGGCCCTGCAACCTAAAATCTTCTACCTACTAATACCAGTGTTTTAAAAAGCGCGCCTAGGCGGGAAGCGTGATTAAAACGCTTCGTCTTGAGCCTAAGTAGGAATTAAGCAGTCAACGACAACGTGGACAACTTAATGCTCACCTAGGCGTTCCTATGATATCTTACAACCTATAAGAGGTATAAGAAATGATTAAAATGAAATAAGGGAGCTCGATAATGATGATTTTGTATCGGACGATACCAAGGACGAATTAGATGAAGAAGAAGATATTGAATTAGAGTCCGATTAAGAGTTAGAATAGATAAGATTTAAACTACAAGTTATCTACATTATGCAATTATGATTTTGAAACTTATATTGATGTAGGAATTATTAAGTAAATACAGTATTTTATAATTTTAGATGTTTGGTACGTATTATTTGAATCATTGAATTTTTTTTACAATGATTAAAAATTTAAAATAAAAAACATTTTTTTACGCCTAAACTTCACCTAGGCTCATAAAGCTTGAATCTTGGCCTCCATGCCTAACCACGCTATACGCTTTTTAGAATATTGACTAATACTTAGAAAGTGTAATTAAAGATTTATAAGCAAATTTTTGGGAAATTGCAGGCACATCCTCAATTTTTGACCTCTTTTGCACTTATAATTTAAATAAAATTTTCTTCACATTTAACTCCTTAACTTTTAATTTTATGTGCATTTTGTTTCTCAAAACAAAAAAGTCCATAACTTGTACAATTTCCAATAAATGGATGATGACGAGATTTTAACCTAGAATACTAGGTTATAACATGACTCAATGTATTTTAACCAACTATTAAGCCGCTCCATTTTAATTGAATGCATTTTTCTATATCTTGTTTTTAATTATACATTTTTTAATAAAATAATATTACACGTAAATATAAAACTTTTCATTTTTTTAATCACACAGTCTTTAAAAAATCATCATTCCAAACAAGAGCTAATTATCCGGTCTAAAAATTTAAACTATTAAACATATATCCTACATGTATTCATCTAAAACTCATCTACACGGATAAACATATCATAGTTAATAGATAAGTGTGCTTTTGTAACAATGCAAAAGTGAAATCAAGATCATAAAGATCCATGCATTCGCATGGCATGATACGTAGTTGACAACTAGCAAATTTTGGCAGCTCCCTTTGTGTTCACGTGCTTCGGTTTCCCAGCTAGGTTTTTTTTTTTTCCTTCTTACACCACCCACCCACTCACTCGCTCCTCCTCATTCTATATAACGTCACCGTCCTCCGCCACTCCACCACCACCATTTTCTTCCTTTTCCATCAGAGGATCAAATCATGGAGTCCTCTAAAATAACTGCCCTTCTCTTCATTTCCTTGCTCTTTATTTCCTCAGCCACTCCCATTCTTGGCTGTGGATACTGTTCCAATCCCCCACCAAAACAGGAGAAACCAAAAAACCCACCAAATGTCAAACCACCAGGAACCCTGCCGCCGATAGTCAAACCTCCAGTAACTCTGCCGCCTATAAACAAACCACCAGTAACCCTGCCACCAATAGTCAAACCACCATTTACTCTGCCGCCGATAGTAACCCCTCCAGTTACAGTGCCACCAGTGCTGAACCCACCAAAGGGTAAGGGAACACCCTGCCCACCATCACCGCCTGTGACGGCGCCACCAGCAACATGCCCCATTGACACATTAAGACTCGGTGCTTGTGTGGATTTACTTGGTGGGCTGGTCCACATTGGGCTTGGAGACCCTGTGGTTAATCAGTGCTGCCCAGTGCTTCAAGGGCTTGTGGAACTTGAAGCTGCAGTGTGTTTATGCACAACACTTAAGCTTAAACTTCTAAATCTTAACATTTTTGTCCCACTTGCACTTCAGCTTCTTGTCACCTGTGGAAAGACAGCACCTCCTGGCTACACTTGCTCTCTCTAAGTATGGTCAAGTTGAGTATTACTAGCTTTTTCACTTCTTGATATTATAAGCTTTTTGTTGAATCAATCCTCTAGAAGTTTAAGTTCTTAGAATGATGCGGTTTACGGTACTACCTATTTCACCTCATGATCTCAAATCCCTAACTTGTAACTTCTCGTTTAGAAATTTAAACTTTTAAACGAGGTGAATTAATACAATATCGGAATAAACTGAGGTTTTTAGTTTAAGAGTCATCCACGTCAATTCTGACAAGTTGGGGAAAAAAAAAATATTAGATATCATCCGCTTAACAACTTTAATTTTTAATTTAGATGGTTCGGCATTAATTTCTTTAAGGCCTTGAGCCTGTGTTCTCATTCAATCACTGAAAGTCACGTAGATATCCCAATCAAGTTTTCCATCTAGCTCATTAGCATCTAATGAACATATTTAATACTTCATGATCACACCCAACAAACATCTCTCATATATTTCTTTTCAATTTATTTATGCAATCGAGCTTATATAATGTTTCTTTAGTTCATCGAAAATTATCTCTCAACTGGGATAAAGTGTTACAACCAAGTACTACTTACTGCACTGAAACAGACAAAAGTTTATTCTATAATTAAGTAATTTTTTCTTTCCACCAAAAGCTGAACAGAAATCATATTTACATAGGAATCGTCACCTACTCCCCACCCCCCCACCTCCTATAGGTATGATGCACCGACACATGTGTTCGAAACTATCGTCACGTGGTTTTTTAAAAAAAGTATTGACAAACACGTCACCGACACATCGATTAAATTTTTATAAATTTAGTTTTATGCCTGGTATTAAATTTTTTTGTTTAAATTTTTTAAATGTGAGTAATTATTTGTTATTTTCTTAGTTTTATGCTTGGTATTAAATTTTTTTGTTGAAATTTTTTAAATGTGAGTAATTATTTGTTATTTACTAATAATTTCGAGTTAAAAATGTATAATTTTTTTTTAATAAAAAATGAAAAATGTTTATGGTAGGGTGTCCAAGGAGTGTAAGACTGACACGCTGTCCTAATTGAAGTGTTCGTGCTACGTAGTTACATACATTGATGTTGGGAGGATAAGCAGTACTAGAAATTATAATAGAGAAGAGAAAAGTTGTTAAAATATATTTATTTATCATACAGTCCAATTCAATATAGTACTCTATATCAAATATGCTGCTTATGTTAATTTCTTGAAAATTATGTGAGCTTTGGCTCATCGTATACATGTCGTGGTTCATGGTTTTGCAGGTATTTAGGTACGTAGATTGATCAGTGCATCTGGTCAAAACCATCTATCGGCGCGCATGAGGGGATATTGAATCTCTAATTTATTTCTTGCCTTTTCCTTCCCGAATTAATCCATCCTTGATCATTTCCGTTTGCTAAATAATATTTGATTCTGTGAAATATTTGATGTATGTGGAGCAATGGTAAGAGAAGCAATCAAAGATTTTCTTTTCGTGGATTATGTTAATTATTATGATTTTACTCGTAGGTTTTCTTTTAAAACCAAACCACCTATATAGAATTAATACTAAAATATAAACTTAATAAACTTTGGTGGGGACATAAAATCTCACCCACACTGAACGAAAGAAAATTGATAACTTCACCTATAGATTGGAAAACAAAAATATATTCGACATTAAATTTTGCGATAGTGCTCCTTGTAGGGATGGTAAAAAAAGGGAAAAATGCACAATTCAGGTGTATGGTTTACACCAATTCAAAAGACAAGTATATAGTATAAAATTCAAAATTCAGGTATTTGGTAATTAATTAAATATAACTAGGTCACAATTTTATTCATAAGTCACAGATATTCAAATTAATTGGTTACAATTTATTCTTCAATCACATATTTCAAAATTAATTGGTCACAGATTATTTAATGATCACATATCAAAAAAATTGTAGGTCACATGGTCATATATTTTTAAATTAATTGGTCACATTGTTAACCCAAGAATAACTAACCAAGAGGGGGGTGAATTGATTATTGAAACTTTTTCGTTAATTACTCAAAGTTCTAATATAGTGAAAGCGCAAATATTCTAAACACAAGTAAATGCGTAAATAGAATAATATAAATTAGTTCGAAGTAAATGCGATAAGTAATAGAGATAGAAAACGCAAACGATATGTTATGGAGGTTCGATCCAAAGCAATGATCTACGTCCCCCGTTACCAAGCTCTCCGTCACGAGTAAGGCCAAATGCAATATAATGGTAACTTACAAATGAGGAGTACCGATCCTTAAGTGACTTACAACAATGAGCACTTATTCTTAGATGACTTATAACAAGGAGCACATATCCTTAACAATCGAGTTTTCACAAGGCTCTCGAAACCGTCAAGAAATAAGTGATAATTTTACAATGAAGAAACTCTCTTAACTAATGATATAATCAAGCTAAGTGTTAGAGAGTTAGGTAAACATTTCAATAAATAGCAAATATTTAAGCTCAAGTGATTTTGTTGCAAAACTTTGATGAATGATAACTAATGTAATAGTGAGGATCAATGTGCCAAAGTTTTCAACCAATGAATCTCTCTTTACAAATAATACACAGTTAAGTATAGAGAGAGATTTTCACTTAAATAAGTGTTGGCCAAGAAAAGTCTTTAGTCAAGAAATGAGAGAGTAGATGAAATGAAATCTTCTTTGCTCAAGTGGAATCTTTGGTGAAATAGATGAATAAGATGTTTTTCAAACAAACAAAAGATTCTAATAAATGAATTTGATAGTAACTTAAGTAAACTCAATGATTTCTTAATATAAATGCTCTCAAAAATAATCTTGCAAGTTGTTCTTTATGAATGGAAAAGAGAGGTCTATTTATAGAGCAAAATAGTGAAGTGCAGGAACTTTCGGCTGATAGGTTTCGGTCGACCGAAATCCCAATATAGCCGTTTGTACTATTTTTCAACCGTTGGAGTTTCTGCATTCAAATTCAAATTTCGGTCGAGTACCTTTCGGTCGACCGAAATGAGCAGATTTTGGTCTTTTAAAAATTTAAGTTACAAATTCCATTTCCAAAATCAATTTCATTTCGAGAAGTTTTTATGCAAGTGATGAGATGTATAAAAGATAACTTTGAGCTTTATACTTGCTAAAAATTGACAAGTTGTACCTTTACACTTGATTTCGAAGATTCGATGAGAGTATCTCCTAAGCTTCTATTCTTCAAAAGTCTTGGTTTCTTCGGATCACTTCCAAGTGATTTGCAATGAATGATGATTCGAAACCTTTGAATGATTGAGACAATTTATACCTGGAAAACTCAACAAACGAAGTTTGTTAGAAATACAAGAGTGTTTGTTATAATCAAAACAAGTGGAGTTATATTGAATCATAGGTCAACACACATACTCTTTCACGGTCACAGATTATATAATTTTTAGGTCACAGATAACAAAATGATTGGTTACAGATTAACCAACGCCTTGCTTTCACCTCCGATCCTGATCCACCACCTTGACCGCTCACCACCTCGCCCAAGCCAACCACCACCTCCATCAACAAAAATCACCGCCACCGCCACCCCCGACAAACCCCGTCAGATCCACCACCACCATACCACAACCACTACCACCAGGCCACTTGTGACCCCCCTCACCCCGACACCACCACCACCACCACCGCCGCCATACAATAGCCATTTGCGACCACCACCTTACCACAACCAGTAGTGTCAAATCCACCACCTCACCACCGTCAAAATCCACCACTAACATCTCCAAATCCACCTACACCATTGATAACAAAAAAACCTCAAAAATCACCTCCACCACCATCCCTCAAAACTGCAGATCCACCCCTCAAAACCGCAGATCCACAACAAAAAAAACCTCAGAAACCACCTTCACAGGTCCAAAAAAAAAAAAAACAATCTCAAAGGAACTGAACTGTGCCTTGGCCTCCCCCGGCGGTGGTTGTGGTGGAAGTGAAAGTGACTCGATTAGAATTACTGGGAAGAGAGGATTTTCAGAGACTGTTGATATGAAACTCAACCTTCTGACCGGTGATATGGATTGAGGGTGGTGGTGGGTTTGGGCAATGACGGCGGGCGGCTACGACGGGAGCGAAGTGATGGGTTGGTTTAGAGAGAGAAAATGTAGAGAGGGAAGGGGAGGCGAGAGAGAGAGAGAGGTGAGTGAGAGAGTTGTGAGTGATAAATTAGGGGTAGGGTTTTAATATATTACCTGATTTTTTAATAAATAAACTCTGGACCTGATTTTTAAAAAGTTACCTTTAAACCCGTGATTTTCTGTAATTTCCCGTAAAAAAACTCGTTTAACCCGATACCCGTGGGGTCCCGTCCCGAATGGAGCGGGGATTACCCGCCTAACCGGGTAAATGGGGCGGGGACGGGACGAGGTTCATTGTCCCGAAGCGGGTATGAGACGGGTATGAGAAACATAATCCCCGCCCCGCTACCCACCCCGTTTAAATTTAATTTCAAATTTAAATTTTTTATCAAACAAAAATAATAGATTTATCGTCATTTTTTAAGAGAACATAAGTTGTTTTTAATAAATTGGTAAAAAAGTAATCATATTTACTAACTAAAGATATAAAAAAGTTAAAAGTAAAAAATAAAAAAATAAAAAAATAAAAAGAAAAAATAAATGGGGCGATAAATGGGGCATAAAACTTGCCCCGCCCCGTACCGCTTTAAGCGGGTATGGGGATGTGGTAAGATAACAAAAAAATCCGACGGGACGGGAGTGGGAATGACCAACCCGTCCCATACCCGTCCCGTTGTCATCTCTAGGTCCTTGTAATAGTAGATTTGTATGCAAGGAACATACATAATGCATATTCAGCTAGTAGGTACTTACAACATGCAGACATGCATGCATGCACCTTAGGTAAATCTGTTAATAATAATAATATAATGTTGTAGCATAATCTTATTTTGAATAAATTCGAGATCTGAATCAATTTTTGTCGTATGATCTACTCACATTGTATTTATTGGAA